TTTGTCATTGAATTTGTTAAAATTTGTGTTTGATTAAATATGATTGTCTGATTTACTAAAAAAATAGACATTTGCTTTATTTCTCTTTAATTTGAACACCAGAATTTCTGTCTTCAACTCCGAGGAATAAAGTTCCGACAACGTTGCATTTATCAATAATTGCGGGCAAAACAGACCTTTTCTAATCGATCGTGCTTGACCGCTCGTGTTGATAAACTTGTTTCTCGGCTGTGCCTTGATCAGCTGAATAATATTTTCTGGCCTTGCTACTACTTTCGAGCAACGGTAGCACGAGTCAAACGGTTTGTCAAGATGATATTCGCATGAAGATTTTCAGCTCTAATTAAAAAAAAAGACTCTGTTCGCGACTCCGTTCGCTGCGCGTTTTTTCGTGAAAAACGGTTCCGGTAATCTGTGTCTGCATCGCCGCTTGCATACGCGCGAATCAGTGACACGAACAGACGGGTTTCATCAATCTTTTTGACCCTTGTCAACCTTTCTCAAAGCCGAATGTCTATATGTTTCTATTCATAGAAAGATATTGCACGTGTATCTAAAGTCCAAATATTTAGGTAGTTTGGTTGTATGAGATAAAGCACGTTTCCTTTTATGTCTACGAGTGCACGTCCTGTAGAAACAGGCAATTGCTTTGTGAAAAAAGGTGCCGAAATATGGTGACCCGACTAACTGTATCAGATCGTAATAAAATAAGTCATTTCATTATAGACAAACTTTTTTGCAAATCTATAAAGATGTACTATTTTATAAAATTATACATATATGTTTGTATATGTTTTTTATCACTTATTAATCTTATTCTAATATAATGTTGTAGAATAAGTTTAGCTGATTTTCAAAAATAGGCTTAAGAAATAGATTTAATATTTGATCGATATTATCGGGAAAGGGTTGATTAGGAAATGGAGGTCTTGGTTCGGGAGAGGCAGGAACAGCAATTATTTCCTCAAGAAATTCTATGGAAGGAGCGGTATACGCCTCCTTTCCTCTCTTCACCGCGCGCGCGGCAGCCGCTAGGGCCAGCGCCGCCGAGCGTTAGGAGCGGCGCTATCCGATAAATGTTGGGTTCTTTTCCTTGATCATTAAAAGTTAAAAAATTTATTAAAAATATTTTTTTATTTTAAATTTATTATGTGAAAATATTTCAATAGATTTCCACGTCACCCATGAGGTACTATTGCTATTGAGGAAAAAAATATTTTTATGTAGGCACTCAGTTTACAATTCGTACACTACAATATTCAGGGCGTTCTTAATGCTTTATTTCTTAGGATCCGTGAGCGACTCGACTGTTCCTTGTTTGTCGCACGACTGACTCGC